GGTGTGGGGTGAGTGGGTAAGTGAAGTCATTGGGTAAATGATGTGAAGTGGGTAAGTGAATGAGTGATGAGTAGGTAAAATGAGTCAGTGAAGTGAGAGAAAGAGAGAGAGCGAGTAAAATAGTGTGAATCGAAAACCCCCCCCCCTACTGTAAGTGTATATTGATGTGTTCATTTGGTACGTTTGTGCTTGTATGTAAGTATGTGTGTGTGGTGGATTTCCTGTTCTCGCTGACCCTCTATGCCCACCGCACGCCAGGAAACTCGGCAAGTCCACACTGGTGTTGGTTCCTCTCTTCGGCGTCCACTACTTCGTGCTGTGGGGCCTCTCCACTTCCACCAACCCGTATGTGGAGTTGGCCTGGCTCTTCCTCGACCAGGTCTTCGCTTCCTTCCAGGTGAGTGGGACGGTCGAGGAGGCTTCTGGAAGGCATAGTTTCTCTCGCTCGCTCGCTCTTCTCTCTCTCTCTCTCTCTCTCTCTCTCTCTCTCTCTCTCTCTCTCTCTCTCTCTCTCTCTCTCTCTCTCTCTCTCTCTCTCTCTCTCTCTCTCTCTCTCTCTCTCTCTCTTCTGCGCTCTCTCTCTCTCTTCGCTTCTCTCTCTCTCTTCGCTCTCTCTCTCTCTCTCTCTCTCTCTCTTTCTCTCCTTCTCTCTCTCTCTCTCTCTCTCTCTCTCTCGCTCTCTCTCTCTCTCTTTCGCTCTCTCTCTCTCGCTCTCTTCTCTCTCTCTCTCGCTCTCTCTCTCTCTCGCTCTCTCTCTCTCTCTCTCTCTCTCTCTCTCTCTCTCTCTCTCTCTCTCTCTCGCTCTCTCTCTCTTCTCTCGCTCTTTCGCTCTCTCTCTCTCTTTCGCTCTCTCTCTCTCTCGCTCTCTTTCGCTCTCTCTCTCGCTCTCTCTCTCTCTCTCTCTCTCTCTCTCTCTCTCTCTCTCTCTCTCTCTCTCTCTCTCTCTCTCTCTCTCTCTCTCTCTCTCTCTTTTCGCTCTCTCTCTTCTCCTCTCTCTCCCTCTCTCTCTTCTCTCTCCTCTCTCTCTCTCTCTCTCTCTCTCTCTCTCTCTCTCTCTCTCTCTCTCTTTCTCTCTTTCTCTCTCTCTTTCTCTCTCTTCTTCTCGCTCTCTCTTCTCTCTCTCTCTTTCTCGCCTCTCTCTTTCTTCTCTCTCGCTCTCTCTTCTCTCTCTTTCGCTCTCTCTCTCTCTCTCTCTCTCTCTCTCCTCTCTCTCTCTCTCTCTCTCTTTCGCTCTCTCTCTCTCTCTCTCTCTCTCTCTCTCTCTCTCTCTCTCTCTCTCTCTCTCTCTCTCTCTCTCTCTCTCTCTCTCTCTCTCTCTCTCTCTCTCTCTCTCTCTCTCTCTCTCTCTCTCTCTCTCTCTCTCTTTCGCTCTCTCTCTCTCTCTCTCTCTCTCTCTCTCGCTCTCTCGCTCTCTCTCTCTCTCTCTCTCTCTCTCTCTCTCTCTCTCTCTCCTCTCTCTCTCTCTCTCTCTCTCTCTCTCTCTCTCTCTCTCTCTCTCTCTCTCTCTCTCTCTCTCTCTTCTCTCTCTCTCTCTCTCTCTCTCTCTCTCTCTCTTCTCTCTCTCTCTCTCTCTCTCTCTTTCGCTCTCTCTCTCTCTCTCTCTCTCCTCTCTCTCTCTCTCTCTCTCGCTCTCTCTCTCTCTCTCTCTCTCTCCCTCTTCTCTCTCTCTTCTCTCTCTTCTCTCTCTCTCTCTCTCTCTCTCTTCTCTCTCTCTCTCTCTCTCTCTCTCTCTCTCTCTCTCTCTCTCTCTCTCTCTCTCTCTCTCCTCTCTCTCTCTCTCTTTCTCTCTCTCTCTCTCTCTCTCTCCTCTCTCTCTCTCTTCGCTCTCTCTCTCTCTCTCTTTCTCTTCTCGCTCTCTCTCTCTCTCTCTCTCTCTCTCTCTCTCTCTCTCTCTCTCTCTCTCTCGCTCTCTCTCTCTCTCTCTCTCTCTCTCTCTCTCTCTTCTCTCTCTCTCTCTCTCTCTCTCTTCTTTCTCTCTCGCTCTCTCTCTCTCTCTCTCTCTCTCTCTCTCTCTCTCTCTCTCTCTCTCTCTCTCTCTCTCTCTCTCTCTCTCTCTCTCTCTCTCTCTCTCTCTCTCTCTCTCTCTCTCGCTCGCTCGTTTCTTTTTTTCCCACCTCTTCTTTTTCTTCCTGATTTTACATTCTCTTTCTTTCCCTTTTCTCTTCTTTTTTCCCCTTTTTTTTCTCGTAATGTCCCCTTTGATGCATCCAGTGTCATCCCAGCGCGACCTTCTCGATTTTGAAAATGCACGAGCAATAAAATCATTTACTGCACGCCAATTATTTCGTGCGTGGACTCCGCTATCCAGTTACGCCGTTGCCGAGACTCGCTCAATATATTCATAATGTGATTTGTTACGTTCGTAGCCGTTATAATGAACTTGACTTTTTGTGTTTTTTTCAATGGTGCGAGTTGCCGGGAATGCAATGCAAATGGTGATGGAATTGAACGGCTGTGAACGTGGGTTGGGCTCATGGTGTTCTTTTTGTTTTATCTATTGTTTTATTTTGATGGTTATTTGATTGATTGATTTTTTATATTCTTTGTTTTTAAACTATTTCATAGTTTTTTATGTGTTTAAAATTACTTTTATTTTATGATATGTGTGTATATTATATATATATATATATATATATATATATATATATATATATATATATATATATATATATATATATATACTGTGGTGTGTTGTGTGTGTGTGTGTACGTGTGTGTGCATTTCAGTAGAAAGAAGAGAGGAGAAGAAAACAATTCAAAAACTTTACGATAAAAAGGGAAAAGGGAAACACAAACCAAATACAAAGACCCTTTCTTCTTTTTTTCCTTTTCCTTTCCGCAGGGCTTCTTCGTGGCCGTGCTCTACTGCCTCATGAACGGCGAAGTGAGGCAAGAGCTGAGGAAGCTGTACAACCGGTGGTACAAGGGGGACCCCCTCGTCATCACCTCCCAGTCCACGCTCGTCTCCCACACCAAGACTTATGCCAGGTAGCGGGGGTCGTCTTGGGTCGCGGGGGAAGGGGGGGGGAGGGATGGGGATGGGGGAGGAGGAGGGGTGGGTGAGTGGGTGGAGGGAGGAGGGATGGACAGGTGTGGGGGGAGGGAGGGAGGGAGGGAGGGGGGTGGGTGGGTGAGTGGGTGGAGGGAGGGAGGGATGGCGGGTGGGGGAGGGAGGGAGGAGGGAGGGGTGGGTGAGTGGGTGGAGGAGGGAGGGATGGACGGGTGGGTGGAGGAGGGAGGGATGGACGGGTGGGGGAGAGAGGGAGGGAGGAGGGGTGGGTAAGTGGGTGGAAGGAGGGAGGATGGACGGGTGGGGGGAGAGAGGGAGGGAGGGGTGGGTGAGTGGGTGGAGGGAGGGAGGATGGACGGGTGGGTGGAGGAAGGAGGGAGAGATGGACGGGTGAATGGGTAGTTAAGTGGAGGAAGAAGTTGGTAGGTGAGTGGGTGGAGGGAGGGAGGGATAGGTAGGTAGGTAAAGAGAGGGATGGGTGGGTGAATGGGTAGAGGGAGGGAGGGAGAGAAGGAGGGATGGGCAGATGGATGGTTAGACAGTTGGATGGATGAACAGAGAAACAGGAGGGCTGAAAAAGAGGGTTGGGGAAATAACGGAGATGGGACAGGCAGACAGACAATTGAACAAATACAGACGGAAGATAAAGGAGGGATAGACAGAGAGAAGGTTGAGGAAATACGGTAGGAAGGACAGACACACAGGCAGACAGACAAATAGGTAGAGAGAAATTTGAGAATCTACGGCAAGAGATCCAGGCAAACAAATACAAAGAAGATTGAAAATATAATCCCCAAAATGTCCATACCATCCTTCCCCATCCGACGAAGCGTAAACCAAACCCTACTTATCCCTCTTTCCCCCCACGCCCTTGCCAGCAGCCGGGGGAGGACGTCTATCCACTCTATCCACTCTGCCATGGACCGCCGAGACAGACAGACGCCCTCTCCCCAGATGTACCGGTCGGCAGGGGAGAACCACAGACCCCGCACTCCTTCGCCGTCGCCCACGAACACGCTCACGCCCTCGTACGGATCGAGACAGCAGTCGAGGGTAAGTTGGCTGGGCAGGGGAGGAGGGCGTGGCTTCCCGTTTTCTGTGAGAGGACCGCGACGTATCGATGACTATTCTATTCGATTCGGTTCGGTTTCGTTTCCCTTTTTTTGATTTTGTTATGTATTTACAGCATTTGTGAGTCGTTAGATGCAAACGTTCATTATAATCACCTAAGTTAAGTTACGCAGCTGAAATATCTGCATGAGTGATTAATAAATTTTGCACCGAACTTTAAGGAATATTTCATAACTAGGGCCTTTAGTTACCTCTGTTCCAATAAGTACAGAAATTCCCTTTAGCATGCGTTTACAATTCTTGAAAAGCTTTAAGAATAGCTTTGTAAATATTACGCCATTTCAAAGTTCCATTCCCCCAAAGGATGTAAGCGTAGGACAGCCCTCGTCGGAGTCCTACGAGGAAGCCATCGAACTGCGGCCCCGCAACACTTCCGAAGCCTCGACTTACTGCAAGAACGCCCACTCCTCAGGCGACAGGCCCCGCGAGGGCTCCGGCGGCGGGATGGCCGTGGAGATCCTCATCAACATCCACGACGAGAGCTGCGGCTACAGGCGAGGGTCGAGCGCCGATAACGACAAGGACGCGCAGCCGCTGCCCGTGAACAACGGCCCCATCCTGTCGCAGGGAGGCCAGCCCAACGGGAGGACGAAGGAGAAGCACCTCACGTTCTCCGAGTCCACGGAGCAGCTGCTGAGCGCCAAGACCTCCCCGATCAAAGAAAACGGGTCGGTGGAGACGGGGAAGGTAGCCAAGGGGGACGTTGGTAAATCGGTCGTGTGTGTGAACGTAAACAAAAGCAGTTTAAAGGCGACTACTCCTCTGCAGGTGGACTCGGTTGTGGCGAAGAAATCAGCGAAGGGCAAGGACCAAGAGACAATGCTCTGAAGCGGACTGAACACCAAGCCAGCGACGACTCG